TTTTTTTGCAGACATTCTGCAGCTAAACGAAAGAAAGAAATCTATTTTAATAAATTGAGGTATTTTATATTTATTTTGCAGCATACATAAGGAAAAAATATGTGCATTAAATTTCGTGACGGTATGTCATCATACTGCTATAATTAATTTTAGGATTATGCCAGAGAAAATTTCCTGAAATTTGGAAATATTATTTACTAATAATAAATAAATTTAGAGGGAAGAAGCAACATTAAATTATATGAATAACATAAAAATAATTACTTAAAAATTGAATTAGAATAATCAACGATATTTTAGCGAATATAGTTATATTACATGGCTAGCCTAGATGACTGATTACTATTTTTTTATTTTACTGCAAAATGGCAAGGTATTTATTAAAAGAAAAAAAAAAAAAAAAAGGTTTAAAAAGATTTTGCGGTAAAATTCTAGTATACGGTAAGGCTTTGGCACGATTTTGAAAATTGTCGCCAAGACCAAAATGACCCGTTTACTGCGCATCATGATGTCGCCAAATCCCATTATTATTCTAAACAAAGAACGTCTATGTAAAGAAGAAAAGGTTCCATACAAGTAAAATGCTATTACGCCGTTAGAATGCGGAGGGAAAATTTGCCAAGGGATTTGGCGACGGAACCTGGCGGCCAGAATTTCTCTCTTCGCGCTGTGTACAGGAAATTGAGAAACACGTGTTAAGAAGAAACGCTCTTTGACAAAAAGAAAACTACGAACATCCGTTTTTAAAATTATTGCGAAAAATCCACGCAATAATTTTAAAAACGGATTTTCGTAGTTTTTTTTTCCCCTGAAAATAACTAATCCATGAATTAATTTACTTGCGCCAAAAAATATTTTCTTTTCCTTTAGAGTTTAACCACTTGCGCTAAAACTAAACTTCACGGTTGCGGTGCCGTGCGCTACAATATAACAAGCGGTAAAGTGTCCCATTTACGCCGCTCCGCATCTGCTAGTGCAATCCAGAGCTGTAACTCGAGAAATAAACAATTTCGTTGTTAGACGACTTGTGCACCACGTTATTTTCATTTTTGCGATAAATGCTTATCGACGTGGTGTTCACGTCGCTCACGGTTTGAGACAAAAGCATCTCGACGTGCGTGGCACGTCTTTTTAGCGCAAATCGTTCAAGAAATTTTAAACGATATTCATTTTATGAACTCTTGATAACGTGACCTTTGAACTTCGACACCGGTTTCGAGCTTCGGCGACAGATATATCAGACATGCACAGCTGTTTCCCTCTATGATGGAACGGAGCCACGTCTGTTGCAGAGAGGTTTTCCTTCTTTACAATACATATTCTTTGATTCTAACCTCCATGGTACCGTATACTAGGATTAAACCCATTTTGTTTTATACGAGAACAGGTACTTTCTTTAGTTCATGCACTGCACATGCGATTCTCGAGAATACTGGAAACCAAAAGTTGCGGGAAAGTTGCTTAGCCTTTCTAAAAGACAATCAAATTGGAGCTGCGAAAATTGGCTCTATGCCAGCTACCCGAATGACACTCACGTGATACATAATTCGCCAAAAAAGTTATCTCTTCCGACGTCGGCGCAAAAATCGCTTTTTTTGGCGGCATCGTTGTATGAACTTCCCTGACTTTTCCAGATTTTGACAAAATACTTACATTCCCTGACTTTTCCCTGAATATTTTGGTCAATTTTCGAATTCCCTGACTTTTCCCGGTTCTCCCGGTTTTCCAGGTAGCGTGGCAACCCTGATATATTTAAGAATTTACTATGCTTTCATAGTTCAACATCCTGATTTGCCGGTTTGTGTCACGTGACCCCGAGGGATCGCATCTCACGTAAACTAAGCTACAGAAACCTAATTCTCTCAGTAATTATCTACATTAATTTCAAGTTAAATCTTAATTTAGAATGCAAGTTTAAATGCAAGAATTATTTCAATTAGTATGAATAGTGATATGTTACGTAAGGCGTTACGTTCGAACAATGGCTAGCTCAGAAGGGATTCGTAAGTCATCTACCCGATGAATTAACAGCTATCTTGTCATAAATGGAGTACTTCATTTAAACTTAAGCAAAAAGCTTTATTTACACATAAAGACAAGTTAAAAGAATATAAAATATTTATCTAGCTACAATATCTATCTAGCCACATCATGCAAACATCGTTCTTAGCTAACTAAACCGGAACTGTTCGTTTTCCTCTGGCGTCCCATGACGTCAGTCTCTATCTGGCTTTTGATTCGTTGGCTTAGTGATGCCATTCCCAACAAATAGCTTACTCAGAAATTATGTAAAACTGCAGTGCTGTACTTCGCTAGAGCATTATTATTAGAATTGATGAATTTAACGTTTGATTTTGCCTTCGGGTGAGCAGTGTGACTGCATCCTAATTGACTTAATAACCATAAATAGCCTTAGGGCATAAAATTGAACTAGCTGGTAAAAATTCTATGTAATTGTATGCCAGTATTGAATGAAACAATCAATCCGATAAGAAATGGCTGTGACTTGTTTTGAAGATGAGCGAGATGTCAAAGGTTATCAGTGAGGATATTCCATTTGGCACCAGTTGTATCATTATTGGCGACTTTATCGCCTGCAATGACAAAACGGAAAAGTTTTAAACTTACGCGAATTCATGTTAAGAGGGTTTACTGCATCTGTAGAAACCACACAACTCAAACAATTAACATAAAATTCTAAAAAGGAAAAAATTATCTAAAAATAACAACTATGATTAAAAAATACAATATAAAGAGAATTATTTGAAAGCATGAATGTTGCATTTTCCACTCATGCACAATGAAAGGGAAAGGAGAATAGGTTATCATAAATTAAGAATTTTGCCAAGTGAACTATTCTTGGTGCAAACTCAAGAAAGTGCACAAAGATAAAATTTTGAATTTCTTAGTTAGTTTTTCAACAAATTTTACAAAATACTAAGATATAATTTGAGTCGTTCAATCGAAATATGAAAAAAAAAAACATCATATGTCATATCAGAAAAAGTTCAATTTTGAGTCAAAATATCTATGTTAGAACAACGCTGTATATAAATCTAATATACATCCTAAGTTACGCTTTTGAGACATGAAAAATGCAAGTTAAATTAAACAATCGTCACAGTAGAATGGGAGATATAGAACTGACCTTTATTTATTTATTTTGTGCAGAATGTACAAGGTTGTTCAATAAGTTCGCGGTGTGCCATCTATTCTTCAATATTAGACCTAAAACTTCGACGGCATTTTCATATTTGTTCTTTCTTAGGAACACATCAAAAGTTTCATTTCGATCTGTTAATTTATTCATTGTTTAACCGCCCTTTATATCTAACATGCTGTGCCTTGTTTCAGGTATGGATAAAATTGAGCAACATGCAGTTATCAAATTCTTTGTAAAAAAAGGTTTAAAGGCAATGGAAATTCATACCGAAATGGTGAATGTGTTGGGTGAATCTGCTCCTTCGAAAACAATGGTTTGCAAGTGGGCTAGTTTATTCAAAAGTGGTCGTACCAGTCTTGAAGAGGATCCACGAGAGGGACGTCCAAAAACTGCATCAACACCAGAAATCATCGGAAAAATACAAGATATGGTATTGGAAGACCGTCAATTGACTGAAAGAGATTTACAGAGACTTTAGGCATTTCATTGGGCACAGTAAGCAATATTTTGAGTGTTAATTTGGGTTTCAAAAAACTCTGTGCAAAATGGGTGCCTCATTCTCTAACGATGGAGCAAAAACACATTCGGATGCAACTTTGCCAGCAACATTTGGAGCGTTTTAAGAAGAATAAACGCGACTTTATCCATTGATTTATCACAATGGATGAGACTTGGGTCTACCATCATGATCCTGAATCAAAACAGGAGGCTAAGCAGTGTGAACCCGGCTCTTCGGCAGCGAAGCGAGTTCGTGTGCAAATCAGCCAAGAAGGTGTTAGCATCAGTTTTTTGGGATGCGAAAGGAATTTTGTTTATAGATTACCTTCAAACTGGCAAAACAATTAATTCAGATTATTATTGTAACCTTTTGAATCAATTAGACGAAAAAATTCGTGAAAGAAGACCCGGATTACAGAAGAAAGTCATTTTCCACCAAGATAACACACCTGCGCACACAGCTAAAAAAAAACCATTGAATTGAATTGAAGAACGATTTGTTGCAACATCCAGCCTATCCACCAGATTTAGCTCCCTCCGACTTCTGGCTCTTCCCACACCTTAAACAATATCTCCGTAGAAAATGATTTTCTTTAAACGAAGAGGTAATAGCTGCCGTGGAGGGATATTTTGCAGAGCTGCTGAAAAACCACTACAGTCAAGGGATTCATAAATTAGAAGACCATTGGAATAAGTGTATTGAAGTTGAGGGAAACTACGTTGAAAAATTTTTACAAATAAAAATTGGTTTCTTCATTTCATTTCCGTGAACTTATTGAACAACCTGGTATATTACAAGTCGCCTTCTGGAACTCTTGTTCTCGTCACCCTTTTCTTTCTGGTTCATGCTTCCTAGGCAGTGGCTTATTTGATTGTTAAAACAGAAAACCTTAAGTTGAAAGGCATACCATATTTCTACTGCAACCATCTACTACATGAGATTAACATTTTATACTGCATTAAAGTTTATTTAGAGGAGTTATCCATTTAAATTTTAAATACACTGTTTTTTTGGGAGGATGAGGATATCATAATGAAGAATGTTTTACATGGAGATTCAAACTTTACCTTCAAAACTTTTGAAAAAATAATATGAATTAATACAGTTATTTTTAGCACACAATTGAAATAATTATTACAGTTTCCCTCAAAATTATCATTTCCAATATAAAATTACTTTAAATTTTCAATAACTTTACAATACTCATTAGTATTCACAGTATAACTTCAATATTTTACTCTCAGTTAATCAAAAGCAGTAAATAAGAGTGTACTAGTATTAATATAGCACAGAAATATTAAATATAAAATAATAGTGAAAAATAAATATGTAGCACACCCTCTGGCCCATGTAAAAAGGTATAACAGTAACACGTATATCTTCAGTTGTTTCTTTATGAACATCAGAAAGCTCTAACCAAGGATGATTCCTTTCTTGCCAAGCTCGTAAAGTTTCCCGTGAACTAAATGGAGGATCTGAAATATTTGACAACACTTTGAATAATATCATAATATAAAAATTTTAAAATATTTTACATATGTATTTCAAAAGGAGAATTTATAACTACAGCATACATAATTTATGATTTGTACCAATATCTGAAAAACAGTTAATAATCAAAGAGTTTATAAATATTTCATACAAAATTTATCATTTGCATCAACTTCTGAAGAACACACTTATACACCTTTTGAAGTAAGAACACTTTTCCTGGAAATTAGAATATAAAAGCTCAGTCTTTATACAAGTTCATATACTCATATGAACCCACCCCATTTCATGCTGTATCAGGATTATCAGAGAATACGGATATAGCCTTCAGAGCACAGAAATCATAACCTATCTTGCTAAGTTCATTTTATTCAAGTTAATGATATAAGAAGCTTTCTCGTGATGATATAAGAAGCTGAGATGGAACATTTATAATGTTAATTTATAACATTTATAATTCTCATGGAACATTTATAATGTGTGAGGAGATATTCTTAAATGACATACAGCATAAATGAACTGAACTTAAATGAACTGAACGCATCTACAATGAAATTGCAGATTATATTGCAAAAGACATAATGGCTTAGAATTCCTTCGATAAACTTCCATAATATGTCAGACATGGAGCTGATGCCACAGCATAAAGTATGTGTTATTCATGTTAGTAGAAGACCAATATACTATTTAGGAGATATCTTACATAGTGGCTGTTTAATGCAATTAGTATGCACATTATTTGGAATTAAAAATTCCATTCTGCATTAAAAAATGAGAAGACTGAGAATGTACACATGAAAATACTTTTAACCAAAATTATGCTTTACTAATAAATAAACTGTTTAAAAAAACTAGAAAAACCACTAAAAATGAAAATAAGAAAATCTAGAACTATTCCATTAAAGTGGCATCAATTAAAAATGTGCCCCCCTTTTTTTTGGCCACCTATTGTTGCCAATTATAAAATCATGAAATAATGATATTCAAAAGACTAAAAAAAATTTACTTCTGTAAAAAGTACATTTTTTTTTAATTTCATAATTCTTAAAAAAAGAAAATTTTTCTTTTTAATTTTTTAATGTAGAGTATTCTGCACATAAATAAAAAATAACGAAACAAAACAAAATTTAATCTAAACAGCTGGCATAAAATTACAAATGTCATTCAATATCATAGAAAAAGTTTCAGTTTTTTAATATAACAGACATCAAATAAATTCTATCAAGCATGACATGGTGATGAGCAGTACCCCCACTGAAATCTATTTCTCCATTCTGCACTGCCCCACAATCACCCAACAGTTTAGGTATAGCATCCAGTTTTAAGGTCTAAAAAATTATAACTGTGATTCACAGTGAAATGTTCAGCATTTCTTAATACCTCTTTCTTACATTCTTTCCAGCAGTCTGAAAATAATAAAATTATAATTGTGATTCACAGTGAAATGTTCAGCATTTCTTAATTCCTCTTTCTTACATTCTTTCCAGCAGTCTGAAAATAATATGCTGCCATCCGCTGTGTTTTCCTGGATGGCAGTCAAAAATGTTGTAGCACAACGATCGGGAACGGCAACCAGAAAACACTTTTCGCTTTCCTGGCATAAATCCATTGCTACGGAAGAACTATCCAATGTTATTTTTTCTTTTTGTGAAAAGAAATCTATTTCTATGATTTTGTTGGCTCCACCGATTTTATTTCTTTTTATGAAAAATCAAAGTTTTTGCACGTACCTCCCTCAAGTAGTTATTCTAATCTCCTATCATATTACGGCTGATTTCTAATTGAAGTTGGCAAAATTCAATTGACGTCAATTCCTGAAACCACAGATAGATGAAATGGTACTGAAGAATTAAAGATGCAAGCCTTCAAACCATGTTTTGGTTCTCAATCCTTTTTTTTCACAGCAAGAACATATGTAACAACGCTGTATAGCAGCTTTGTTTAAGTCAAATGTTAACTTCATCAGATGATTTTCAGAACAAAGCCAATAGCTATGAATAATTCCTTGGAATCTGAATCTTTATGGCAGCCTCTTCGTCATTAGTTTTCCAAACTGTGTAGTCCATTGGGGGAAAAAAAAAAAAAAAAAAATCTGAAAACAAATAAAAGTATGATGATATTTCAAACGAAAACTGGAAATCTCGAACCAAGATATTGTTGTAGCATTGTTTTCTTCTTATTTTTTCTTCATTTTTAACTAATGTTGCTCTAACATAATAGTACCAAAAATCTTAAGTAGGAAAAATTCAACTAATACACCAGGATGCTGCCATGCAACTTAATTCTTTAGTGTCACCATGTGCATTTCTTACAGAGAACAAATAACTACTCAGAATGTTTTTATACTTGATGTTTCATATGGCACTGACGACAAGAATTGTGAAAGTTATTACTCTGGCAGTGGATGGTACACTGAAGCCAAAACATGATGCTTTTAGGGTTCAAACTAAAATCAGGCTTTATCTTCTAATCCCAAGCTATCTATTGCCTTATAAAACTAACGAAGCTGCTATTTAACAGTCAGATATTTTGCTAGACATCATACTGTAATGTAATCATGCCTCTCAACCTCATGAGCATGTATGAGGGACTAGTGTGTGTGTGATTATGGCAAAGCCTCGAGGGCTATCTGCCTAACAGGAGGGATGCCTTCGTGGAGGACTTTCTAAGGGAAACTGGCTCGTATACACGTTACACATGGGGAAAACCACGAAAACGCCCATGCAGCCAGCCCGTTCACGGGATTCGAACCTCGGACCGAACTACCAGTGTTCAGCGACTTTACCGCTCGGCCGCTGGTGGGCCTATGAGGGACTAGTCTATTGGCATGTGCTTCAGATTTAGGTTATGATGTGAAGAATGTGTGCATCTCTTTCATGCCACTGTAATGCAGCTGCTTTCCTATACGAGAGAGAAGGCACCAATTTTCTGGAAATCACTAAGATGAAAAGTAGAGTAATTACTTTCAGGTCATCACTACGGTTCAGATCTTGCTATTCAATTTTGTTTTTATAGCAATGCTATCTGCATTTATCACAAACTGTTAATAAAGTTATGGTTGGCAATGTTTGCCAATAGATAGCACCATCAGCAAAAATTGATATTAATTGTCTTTCTGCTAATGTGATGCTCAATCTTGGCTATGGTATGATGCTATAGCATCCAAGCTAAAGGCATGCTTCAAGCTAATATAAAATAGCCTTCTAAAAGTAAAATTACTGATCTTTATGTGTATACTAATAAGCATTTTAGAGAAGTTATTTCCAAACTAAGGATACATAAACTCTTTTAAGTATACGCAGAAATACACAATATATAGATATTTTTAAAAACAGAAATTGATTTTAACATAAAAGAATTAATAAAATCAGTTTTTTAAAATATTTTAAGGCGTGCAATCAGTTTGCTTTAAATACAGAGACTTCATCTGTTTTATTCAGCTAAACTCTGCTTTAGTCCATAAGAATATACACATATTTAACACATCAAATTCTAATTTGCTAACTAGATTGCAGATTAATCATATAAAAGTTAAATGAAAAGCATTCAATCACCTTCTTCATAACAGTAACGCATTTTATTTTCTAAAATTAAATTTTTGTGCATTTTGAATAAAAATTACATTATTGTTGCATTCTTTTTATACATATAAAAGAAAGAAAACTCTAGTTTCACTAGGTGCCTTATTTATAAAATTATTAAACACATTTTTAATGTACCATTTTATTTACGATTAATATGAATGCTATTTTTTAATAAGTTATAAACAAAGAGCTTAGAATACAACTTAGCAGCAATAAAATTAGAAATTCATCAGACCAAAAATGCAATATTGCACTTTTCTAATAATTAACAAAAGCTAAAGTTAAATACAGTACAAAGACCGTAATCTGGACATCCATTATCCGGAATGATCTATAATACGGACCTCAAAGCCACAAACTTACGCATGCATGTTTGATGCGCACGTCCGCTACACATGCGCGCTTACGATAGTGAAGAAAGTAACAGAAAACGTTGTTGAAAACGAAAAAATTTCGATTGACAAGTTAGTCGGTATTCTCGACACTGCAATTAACAGATTTGAACTGTGGAACTTTCAAATCCTGTAATTGCTGTGTCGAGGAACAGTTGTAACTGAACAAGAAATTTTGTCTGTTATAGTAGAGAGAATTAAAAGAGAAAGTATTAGCACAAAAAAACGAAGCAACTTAAACAACTTACATTGATAGTAATGTTTAACTAAAGTAAACAAATAAATATTAAGTTTTTTTTTTTTTTTTTTTTTTGTAAATTTGATACCCTTTAGATAATAATTGCTCTTTATTTCATAAATTATGGTTTCATATTTTTAATTGCATAATTTCTGCATGCCATCTTACCAGATTTAAATTGATGATCTATAATCAGGAAAAACCCCTAATCCGGAATTGCCGAAGTCCCGACGAGTCCGGATTACGGACTTTGTACTGTATACTATTTATTTACAGCTGAAATTATTTCTTCTAGAACATACATTTGCAACCTTTTTTTATATAAAAATCACAGAAAGTAGAAATAAAATTATATAAAATTATTTAGAAACAATGGAAAAACATAAATTATTTAATGCTAGATAGACACAAATTCAATTAATGACTAATATAAACACATACACAATATGACAGTGAAAATGCATGATCCGAAGAATATTCAAATTGCAATGTAGACAGCTGCAGATAGTTATGCAAATGATGTGAAATATGTTGCATTCTCACGCATGTGACGCCAGAAATAAGAGAAGGAATTTGCAGAATTAACAACAGTTCTGGTCATCAAACAGAGTAATCATTTTGGAAATTGTTTTTCTATCACAGAGGAAGTGTTAGTACAGAAAATGCCAGAATGCCAACAACCAAGACACTTCCAACAAAAAGATAAGTATACCAGGGGTATGGTGATTGGACTGAGAAGAGGTTGGTTCCTGTGCCATATTGCAATGGATAGGCACCTTCACGCATCTACAATGCACTGGCTGTGGCAAAGAAGGTTTGAAAAATATGGCATGTTCCAGGAGTAGCAGTGCTGCCAGAGTCACTTCAGCACATGCAGGCTGACACATCTGAAGGCATGTGTCGGTGATCCTGCAGCCTAATTCCGTCGACATTTTGAGGCAGGTGGTGGACACTCATGATGCTCCCATATCGACACGGACCATTATTTGCCAACTGGCAACTGGTGGCCTACATGTATGGCATCTTTTAAGAAGGTTGCCACTGAGCCAACAGCACAGGCACCTTCATTTGAGATGATGTCATGATAGAGCCACGTGTATTTTGGAGGGGTATAATGTGATATTTCACAATGAGTCATGCTCTTGTTTAAGGAATGACAATTAATGTTTACAAATCTGGCAGTGAAGTAGTGACATGTAAAATCCGGTCACAAAATATGGAATGCTACACTGTGTGACAATGCACCATCATGATTTGGGGTGCCATCAATTAAAACAGCAAATCACCACTAGTCCGTATCATTGGCAGAGTATGATGGCCCAGCAATACGTGAATGATGTGCTCCACCTGGAAACACTACCCTCCCGTCAGGAGACACCAAATGACATTTACCAGCATGATACTGCCAGACCACACATGGTGCACATCAACCAATATTATATGCAAGGTATTCCGCACTTCTCTTAGCCACCTGTCTCTCCATTAAATATGACTGGGACATGATTGCATGTCTCTTGCGTGCATTGCTACCGCTATGTTTAAAAGATGAACTGTGGCAAATGATCAGCAGGGAAAGGGCATCTATCCCTCAGGACACAATCCACACACTCTTTGCATATACATGTGTTTCTTTGCATCTAGATGCATCTAGCAACACTTACATGTGTTGCTTCTTGTATCTCCACCAGTGACAGCCCTACAGCTTACTGAGCATACTGCATTGTCACTCTTTTTGTAAGTGCACCATGCTGCAATAAACATCACTTATTGTTCATTGCGGTGTCTCTCCTTTTGTTGATTTTCATCACTTTCGGTATACGCAGTCATGGTGCTGCATTTTCACTGTCATCTAGTGTAATTCAAAAATAAGAAACACAAGCAATACCCATCTTCTTTACGAAGGAAAAACTATTTTGTCATGATTTTAATTAGCTTTAGATATTCTATTCAAGACATTTTTCTAATAGCATATTTTTTATATTTAATTTTTTTAAACATAGCCAGATTCTTTCCTAAAAGTTAATTATCCCTTTTACTTTAAGTGTAAGAACTATGCTGCAACAAATGGAAAAGGCTAATGAAGAATTTGTTTTCCCATTTGATCTAGGGTTTGCTTTTCTTTCCAAGACTGGCAGTAATTTATTAGGCTTTCTAGCATCTTAAATTATTCAAAATAAATAAATAAAGAAAGAAGAAGAAGAAGAAGGAAAATCCTTACCTTTTTCTGGATCATACATCAAGAACTTTTCAAACAATTCATGAGCTATAGGTTGTTTCTCTGTAGTTGTGTAAGGTATAATATCTTCATGTGCAACATAATCCAAGCCTGTAAAAAATTGCTTCTTTCAGAAAATGAAATCGTACATCTTTATAACAACTACATATGAGTACTATCTACATAGCAATATTCAGACTATGAAATAAAAACAAATGTCTTAAATTTAAATGATAGGTGAAACAGCAAATAAATTATTTAAATCTTTGAACTACCTGGAATAGCATATAGTGAACGGCTATTATCTTGATTACCTAAGAATGTGACTGCTTCTGTTTGCGTTCTCTAAAATAAATAAAAATATTTTAATTTATTAAATTTACTGAGTAGAGTAAAGATAAATGAAAGAAAAGATACAAGGATGTTTTATCTGTTATATTAGGGGAAGGGAAGAACTTTAGTACATGATTTCGTAAATTTTTCAAATTTCGGTGATGATTTTTCCCACTAATGGCACTCTGGCATTAGTTGGCACCTTTTCACAATGAAATGTGTTTTTGAGACCAACAGATCGATTAAACAGATTTTCTGATTTTCAGTAGATATTGTCTGACACTGCTTCCATACAAATTCTGCTAAAATAGAAGGCAAGTGATTTCTCTTAAATAATTTCAAATTTCTTGCTCAAATGTCTTGTCAGCTATTGAAAACATTATATTTCCACTAACATCTTCTTTGATGTATTGTTTCAGACAGCAATAATTGGATCACACATGATTTTTTGGCAAAAGATCCCATGCATAGAAGCAATGGGTTACTTCTACTTTATTTCTTAATAAATCAAAAATAAAGTAAAAATTAATGCAAGGTAAATAAATACTCTCTTAAGGCTCTTTGCAGGAAAAGGGTTTTGATGAAGGCACACTGGACTTAAGTTTTTGGATTATTGCAACTTTTATAAAAATAGTTGAGAGATTGCATCAGATTTTGATGTTAACAGCTAAGTGATTTCATCAGTTTCCATTGGTGACAGGGTTAATCGCCAATGTGTAGTTGTAAAATGAGTAAGCAATTTCATCAGACAATAGTTCATTTCAGTTCAGTTTGTCTGATAAGCAAGAATTTTATGTTTGGTTGTTCTTCTCACTATGGAATGATTCTGACCCTAAACTTTTCAATGCAAAATTTAATTAAAAAATCTTCTTGAGTTTTAACCTTTTTTCTCAAGCAAATGTAAATCTTTTAAAGCTTTTTATTTTGACTTTTCCAAATTATTACTCTATCAGATGAACCTCTCTTTTGACAATGATAAATTTTAATCTTTGATAATGTGGTAATAAAGGCCCCATGCCTAAGTGCTCTACAAATTAAACTTCCTTGATCCTTTGTTCATTGGCTGAGATGCTTAAGTGCTGGTTTAACTTTGCCAACTTAACAAGCTTACAAAAAGCAGGAATTTGAAAACCTTGAATCTTTTTCACTTTTGCTTTCCACTGCCTTCTAGTGTAGCTGAATGGGTGAGTGCTATTATGCAGGTATGCTTCCTGATGTGATAGCTGCAGTTATTCCATGGCCAATTTAATGTGTGCTGCAGCCTTTTATTTTCATGAAAATCTGTCAGGGACTTGAAATGCCAAATGTATTATCTTCGACAGTGTTCTTTTTCCCCAGCTTAGCTTTTTGCCCTGCGGTGATTGTGCTTGAGACATATGAACACTGGGGTGTATTTCTATTGCTTTTGCACGATCTACAAAACCTACAACATCTAATGCAATGTTCATTGTCAGTGCCTTGGTTATCGCCTGTGACTCGAAACCTTCATCTTAAGAGGCAAGCCACCTCACATTGGTAAGTTGTCTTAAGCATGATCATCACCGAGTCACCGAGGAAAAAGCCAAGCCTAGATAAAAGAACACTGTCGAAAATAAGATACGAAGGCACTTCAAAAATTCAGCATCTCAAGACCCAGGCCAGAACTTCAGGGAAACACACACACACACACACACACACACACAAAAAAAAGGGCAGCAGCATGCATTAATTAATCGTGCAGATATTTATTGTAGCCATCACAATAGCAAATGCCCTTCCAACTAATAATAAAGCTATGAAAACTTATAATAAAGCTATGAATATAAGATAACCTTATTAAACAGCAAAAACATACCATCTATCTCTCTATATATACATATGCAGGATGCAATAATGTTATATGGTGTACTCAAGAGGAAAGAAGAAAGAAAATGCTATTAGAATACTTTGATAGCATAATGTTTCGTTCAGATGTTTTATATCAAAATTCCACAATGTTACTGCCAGGTGGATGAACAGAGGAACACCTATGACTTATTTTCCAATAATATTCTCCATCTGGAAATTAATACAATTGAAATCCAACAACTTCCTCTTACGAGACTGCACAAAATAAATTTTGTATGAGAAGCTTTTAAATATTACACACCTCTTCATGGTGCACAGTCACTTTGTCAACACATTTCATAAAAACATTAATTTTACTATATTTAACCTAAATAAAAATGGATTACCGTATTTGACGGCATATAAGATGCACTTTTTTTCCTAAATTTTATCTCAAAAAAGTTACTTGCGTCTTATACATGAAGGACACAGGTTACAAAAACATAACCTTCAATGCCCAGCTCCATCTTGGCCTGAACATGAAAATGTCGTAAAAATGTGGGTGACAGATAAGAGGAAATCTGGGATAAGTGTTTCAACCGAAATGATAATCAATGAGGCCAAAGAATTTGCAGAAAAACATGGGACTCAGAACTTTTCAGGGTCTGAGGGCTGGTGCTACAGGTTCATGAAAAGGCAAGGCTTAACAATGTGCACAAAAACAACTATTGCACAGAAAATGCCAGCAGATTATGAAGAAAAAATACTAGCATCTCATAGCTTTGTTATAAATGCACGCAAGAATACTTCTTTTGAGCTCAGTCAAATAGGAAATATGGATGAAATTACACTCACATTTGATGTACCATCCAACAAGACTGTGAGTATTAAAGGGTCTAAATCAATAACCATAAAAACCACAGGTCATGAAAAAACACAAATATACGGTAGTTCTAACATGTTGTGCTGATGACACAAAACTACCGCTGTTTTTCATATTCAAAAGAAAAACTTCCAACGGTGTAATTGTTCATGTTCATCCGAAAGGCTGGATGAACGAAGCTGGAATGAAACTGTGGTTACAGAACGTATGGGCGAGGGGCTTAAGAAAACCCTCTCTTTTGGTTTTGGATCAGTTTAGCACTCACAGAACTGAAACTATAAAAACCTCTTGCTTTATGCGAGAGAATTAAAAACCCAGATAGCTGTCATTCCTGGTGGACTGACTAGCCAATTGCAGCCTTTAGATGTATCGGTAAATAAGCCATTTAAGGAAAAAGTTCAAGAACGATGGAACAAGTGGATGAGGGAGCCACATCACGCCCTGAGGTAGAATGAAGAGGCCCTCTATTTCACAAGTGTGCAAGTGGGTAAAAATATCGTGGGAGGACGTAAATGTTGAATCAATTGTTAAGTCCTTCAAGAAGTGTGGAATCAGTAATGCTCTTGATGGAACAGAAGACGACGCATTATACGAAGAAGGTGATACTAGCGATGACGGAAACAGCAGTGATGACAATATTCTCGTTTTCGATGATGATCATAGTGAAAAGAATTTTTATGGTTTTAAAGTGATTAAAGTCTAATTTCATGATAGGCAACGTTTTCCTTGAATCTGTGTTTTTTGTTGTTTCTGCTTTATTTTGTGTTATGTTTGATTGCTCGCCGTTCATTTATTTATTCATTATTGAAATTTACATATCATGTTCAAAATAGCTTGCCATTTGTTAATTTTCCTTAATAAAGATATGTTTGGTAATTGCATTATTTGGCTTTTATGAAACATGAGAACTAAAAGAAAACACATTTTAAGTTATTGTGGTACCGCGCTCTTATGCGGACTATTGAAACTTTTCCCCTTTGTGTGTGGCCTTCTAAATAAGGGTGCGTTTATATGCCATCAAATACGGTAATTCAAATTACTCAGATACAATTAAGATGGCTTCTCTAACATATAATTCAGAAGATGTTAAAATTACATGAATATGAAAGCATATTTTTTTCATATAGTTAGATTTTTGTGTTTATACTAAAAAGTTCCTTTTTTATTGTAGTTGTAGCATTTTGCTAGATTTATTGCTTTTACTTTAGTAGTCTCATAGCTCAAAATTTATTTTGCATATAATTTTTTTTTCTTATAAGTGAATTTAACAAAGTTCAAATAGACCAAGCTTAATATTTTTTTTTTTTTTTTTTTTTGTTGTTTCATTTTGTTTTGTTTAAAGACAATGTTGCAATTATGCTTTACTGTTAAAATTGTAAGTGGTTCAGAATTAATGTTATATCACATATTACACTGCAGATATTAATGAAATTTAATTTAGAAATACAATCAAAAGTCTTTAATCCGGACATCCATAATCCGGAATGATCTATAATACGGACCTCAAAGCTACAAACTTTCGGCGCATGCGTAAACGCAATTGCGCAAAGGTATTATGAGCATACACGTTTAGGCATGCGCATAATACGTTTACGCATGCGCGTTTAACGTATAACGGACGGCATAAGCTAAGCTAAAATTATCTAATTATCTACTTCAGTAAATGTTGCAGATTGCGTTGTTCCTTAATCTTCTAATTGGATCCGGCTTATTATTTTTTGCAGACTGTTAGCAATTTTATAAAACTAAGCTTGAACTTTCGATTATGTCAAAAAGAATTTCCGATTCTGGAGCTGCCAAAGGATCTACAAAGCAAAAGCATGTTTTGATGTCCATCAAACAAAAAGTGGAATTGCTGCAAAAAATGGATAAAGGCATATCCTTTGTTTCTCTAACCATTCCGAATCTGTTTATCAATTTCACGCTGCTCTCGGGAAGGGGGGAGACGTTGCGGCGGCCAATGAACTGGAAGTTGATCTGTCAGCACTATCCTTATCTTCAAGGCAGATGTTTTTATTTTATTTGGCTTATAATTCCTTACTAAATGTAGTATTTCATCTCGATGTACTCCGTCTTTGATATGATTTAAATCAAATTCCTCGTCATTATAAATATCACGAATACACATCAAATAGTTTTCTGGTTGCAATTTTCTAATTTCGACTATGCGTAATGTATGCTTTAGGCATGTGTGCGTTGAAAGAAATGTTTAATAAAGTAAACAAATAAAAATTAAACTTTTTTTTTTGTAAATTTTGATACCCTTTAGATCATAATTGCTCTTTATTTCATAAATTACGGTTTCATATTTTTAATTTTATAATTTCTGCATGCCATCTTACCACATTTAAACTGATGATCTATAATCAGGAAAAAACGATAATCCGGAATCACCGAAGTCCCGACGAGTCCAGATTAAAGACTTTTGACTGTATATACTGATATTTTTTAAAACTTTCCAAACTGCAAAGATCAATTTTATTTTACAATGCTATATGCAAGAATACTGTAGAATTAAAAGAAAATGATACTTAAAAATAGTGCAAATGGCAAAGTTACAACGAATCATAAAAATTATAAATACCAATAACAAATTTTGTTGACAAGTATTGGCTAATCATGAACTTAGTAGTAATAATTCAAGAAAAAATCATAATAAAAACATACAATCTTAAATTAATAAGAGGTATAAATACTTACAACATATGGACAATCTCTAGAATCTATAAGAACTTGATAAAATGTATGTGTGTGACTCTTTACTTCTTTTCCTACATGATTATAACCAGAACTAGATTCTTCACTTTCTCTGAAAATGATAAGAAATAATGCAAATCATTTTTTAAATTATTATTCTATATAATAAGTATGATAAAATAATACTTTAGTGATTACAAATTCTTGTATTTCAAAATAGTGTTTATTCCAATTACCTTTTAAATTAAAACTTACAGCAAAATTAATATTTTATTTAAATAAAGGACTGATAATCAAAACTATGCTAATAGTGAACCAAATGAGGAACTTACCTCAGTTAAAAAGAATCAAAACTATGCTAATAGTGAAGCAAATGAGAAACTTACCTCAGTTAAAAAGAATCAAAACTATGCTAATACTGAAGCAAATGAGGAACTTACCTCAGTTAAAAAGTTACAAGGGGCATAAATTAAAATACAATTAAATATTAATTTGAAAGTAATAAAAATATTTAGAGAGCATAATTTTGAGATTTGCTTCAGGTGTTAAAATATCACAAAATTTTGCTAAATTACATGTGGCATTCAAATAAAAAAATATATTTCTTGTAAATTTATCTAATACCTTTTACATTTTCATATTAGATATCATATACAGCTTATATTTAAACATAAATTTCCAAGTTAAAAATCATTCAAATTAATAAAAAAATTAAATTATTAAACGTTATGATGTTACATTTATGATGTATATTTTGGTACTCTTCTATCATCGGGACTGGATTCTGAATATATATATGTATGCACAAAAGTATAAATGTATATGTATACACATACATACATTTGTATGTACATGAATATATACATTTCTGAATTCGGTCATGATAACAGAAGAGTAGCTATAATTTTAATATTGCAATGAAATACATAATTAAAAAAGAAAAGAAAGAAAACTTAGTTTATACATATCTAATAAACATTTCCCCCTTCCAGGGAATACCTATTCAAATCTTTATTCGGGACATCTCGGTCATACACACGAGCCATCCATGGAAACAATGTGACACCCCTATAGCCAAAAACTCTGTGCAAGAATAACTGCAAAAAATGGAAAATATAAATTATTCTACAGTTTTTGAAAAACTTAATGCAACACATTGAACAAGTGAAGTATATAGACATTAACAGAAGTGCTATACATAAAGTTATCATGCCATATAAAAATCACATATAGCAATTCACATATTATGTAAAAAATTTTTACGGAAACTAAGACAAGCACTTCCATTTTCAGTTAAAGGATATCTTCTGCAGATGAAATACAGTCAAAAGTCATTAATACGGACTCGTCAGGACTTCAGCGATTCCGGATTATCGATTTTTCTGGATTATAGATCATCAGTTTAAATCTGGTAAGATGACATGCAGAAATTATAAAATTAAAAATATGAAACCGTAATTTATGAAATAAAGAACAATTATGATCTAAAGGATATCAAAAAAAAAGCTTAATATTTATTTGTTTACTTTATTAAACATTTCTTTCAATGTAAGTTGTTTAAGTTTCTTCGTTTTATGTGATAATACTTTCTCTTTAATTCTATAAACAGACATAATTTCTTGTTCAATTACAAAGTTCCGCTGTTCAAGTCCTACAATTGCAGTGTCGAGAATAACGACTAATTTGTCAATCGAAAGAGCTTTTCCAAAATACACAGCATAAACTCAAAAGTTTATACAGTCAAAGGTCGTTAATTTGGACACCCATAATGCGAAATGATCTATAATCCGAAAATCAAAGCTACAAACTTTCTGCGCATGCGCGCAAGACCTTAACGGCCGCGCATATGCGTGTGCGCAAAATACGTTTATGCATGCGCATTTAATGTATAACGGACGGTATAAGCTAAAATTATCTAATTATCTATTTCAGTTAATGTTGCAGATTGCGTTGTTCCTTAATCTTCGAATTGGATCCAGCTTATTATTTTTTGTAGACTGTTAGAGCAATTTTATAAAAGTAAGCTTGAACTTACTTAACTTACTTAAGATTTTCCTTACTAAATGTAGTATTTCATCTCGATGTACTCCGTCTTTGATATGATTTAAATCAAATTCCTCATCATTATAATTCGCTTCCGATAGTGAACAAAGTGACACAGAGGTTATTGAAAATGAAAAAATTTCGATTGACAAATTAGTCGGTATTCTCGGCACAGCAATTATAGGACTTCAACAGTGGAACTTTGTAACTGAACAAGAAATTAAGTCTGTTTATAGAATTAAAGAGAAAGTATTATCACATAAAATGAAGCAACTTAAACAACTTATGTTGAAAGAAATGTTTAATAAAGTAAACAAATAAATATTAAGCTTTTTTCTTTTTTTTCTTTTTTTTTTTTTGTAAATTTTGATACTCTTTAGATCATAATTGTTCTTTATTTCATAAATTACGGTTTTATATTTTTAATTTTATAATTTCTGCATGCCATCTTACCAGATTTAAACTGATGATCTATAATCCGGAATCGCTGAAGTCCCGACGAGTCCAGATTAACGACTTTTGACTGTATTATACTTCCTTTCTTGCGTTAGGGTTGCCGCAATTATTTTTGGCAGCACTAGCATTAACAACGGTTTGGCGATTTTTGACAGCCCTCAAAACCAAATAGTACCCAAATTTCTTAGTGTGATGGCATATGACTTCAATGGGTTATAGTATATTTAAAGGTGCCCACTGGATTATCGCTAAGTTGTTTCATTTATTGGAAAGTTGTTTTATTTATGGTAACCTGGGTAGCTGAATGTTATGGAAACCCTATTATGATGTAACTGGTTGCGTAATTGCAGTGCATTTGAATGGTGAGAAAAGCTTAAGGGCTTGTTTGTGTGTTCAATGTTGGTTAGGAAGTACAGTGGTTATTTTGTGGTTTACACGGTAAAATGGCTGAATGCGGCAAGATTAATTTGAAGTTCTGTACAATATGGAAAGAAAGGGCAAAAATGCATTATTTGACTGGTGTGTAAATGAAGTGGTTAGACTGAAGGGTATCTCTTGTATTATCTCAAAGTTGTTGTTTCATTTATTGCCAATTTGTTTTTCATTTATAGTAAGTAAGCTGAGTAGCTGAATGGTCCGTAAATATACTTTTACCTAGAATTGGGTGCTCCTTTGACTTTTTAAGTGAAAATATATCAATGTGCACATGGGCAATGGTCAAGGGAGTGCGCAATGCCAAGTTTGTGCAATTCTGCAATTTTTTTCAAGTGAAAGTAGGTCAATGTGAACATGGATACTGAGTTTGTGCAATTCTTTGACTTGTTATTTTGTCTTTGTGTAGCAGTGATTTTCAGACAAAATAACAAGTCAAAGAATTGCACAAACTCGGTGTCCTTGAACCGCCACTTTTCGCCAAGAGGTACCCGTAAATATACTTTTACCAATGAAGCTTTACTTAGCAGCCATAATAAGTATCCTATTTGTACAAAGGAAATGCATATGCTCGAACATCGGAGGATCCCGGCAGTATAAAGGATATTATTTTACTCTTATTATATGGTGGCGTTAATATACAGATTCTAATTCAGATAATTTTAGGAAGCTTTTGGATGCTGTTAAGGAACTTTGTTTGAATGAAGACACAGAAATTTCTAAATAACATAAGTGGATATTTCTTTTGAGAAATGCTAAGACGAATTTCCTTTTTTATGCTATTTCATTGCTTGATTTAAAATGCAGTTGATTGAGATTATATATTTTTTGTTTGACTCTAGTGTAGAATTGGCTGCTCCTTTGACTTTTTAAGTGAAAATAGATCGATGTGCATATGGGTAAAGGGAGAGCCCAATGCCAAGTTTGTGCAATTCTCTATTTTTTTTAAGTGAAAATAGGTCAATGTGTATGTGGATACCGAGTTTAAGCAATTCTTTGACTCGTTATTTTGGCTTTGTGTAGCAGCAATTTTTGGCTCAAAAATCACTGCTTCACAAAGCCAAAATAACAAGTCAAAGAATTGCACAAATTCGGTGTCCATGTACCACGAAAAATCGACAAGGGGCAGTCGTAAATACATTTTCACCCTTCAATATTTATCATAATTTTAAAAGAATACTGTGCATACAATGATGCATCATAACATCACTGACAGAGATAAACATTTCTCGACAAATCTTCTGAAAGTCTGCAATCTTTTATCAGCTTCCTTTCATGTAATTTCATTACTCTATGTGTCATCTTCATCCTCCTTTTGCAGAACATGTCCAATTATTTCATTGTGATCTTGAGAGAGTCTGATAGAAAGAGAATTGTCTACATCCGCCAAAGTTGTTCCACATCTTCACTAAATAGTAACCTTCCTTGAAAATGTATCCCAATCCAAAATGATGGCCATAGGTGCCAGATGAACCAACATAAACTTTGAATCTGTAATCCTTGGGTGGTACTCAGGCATCAGCTACTGGATGTACTACCTGTACTTTGACAAAGTGTTCTATGACTGTTGGTGGTAATTTAAAATAAGCGCGATAGCACAAATTTCCAAGTTAAACAAAGAGCAGGCACAAGTCCCCAAAAAGATATATCAAATCCATTGATAGTCAAGAATTAGAAGTAAAACTGTCGAGCTGGTGGGAAAAGCTTTGAAAACAGGCTGAGTTGGAAAACCGTTGTGCCCCTGGCTCTATCTGGTGGATGAGAATAGAAAGATTCACTGGAGCAAATACTTGTAAAGCTGGTGATGCGATGGAGTCTCCTGGAACTATCAGATAGTTGTGTAGTTAAATATGGATACACATAAATACTTACTAACTTTGCCAGTAAATATGATGTGAAAATTAGAATTAATAAGCTCAATAAACAATGGAATAAATCAAATATAGAAGAAATAAAGTCTATTATGCTTTGTTAGTAAATCAAAATCTACAGCACTTTATCAAGATAAGTAAAGTGTTATTGAAAATATTAGAAAATATGCTTGAAATATATATGGTGCAATTTAAATACATAATTCTTTTGCAGGCATGATACTTGATATGAAAAGGAAAAATCTTTCATGCAGCCCAAACCTGTTAACTTAATGAGGCCTGGTATATTACCGCTTGGCTATTATTTCTCAATTATAGATGCTTTAAAACGTTGATAAACATAAAAGAAGAGTTTAATGAACTTTTGGCTTAAAGAAATTAAGTTCTTGTGCATTGATTTTTAGAATGAAAAGCCATGTTTGAATTCTATTATTGTTTCTATGATGCCGAGTTGGATTTTATCTATGAAAGATTTAGTATTCTCATATTGCTGTTAAGAAAGTTTTGGTATTTTTATGCCAATTTATCATTGCAGTATCACTTAAATCTTCCAATTTTGAGTTGGAGGCCTCGTTGCTTTTGGAAGAGTGCTTGGTATGTTCAGTTGTTGGAGCAGTGGAAGATATAGTATCAGCTACATCAGCGGTTTTCTTCCGAGGAGTTTTTCCACCCAGTGTCAATTTTTGATGGTAAGGAAAGAAAGTTTTTTTTTTTTTTTTTTTTCCATTATTGATAAATACAGGTTTATTTGCAGACTTTGGTTGATTTTTTTTTGGGGGGGGGTGCAGGACATCTTTATAGGCCGAAAAGTCATTACCACAGCAAAGGACACATTTGCCAGGTCCATCTTCTTTTTCACAGGTGCATTTCCATGTTTTGTAAAACAGTGCACATTTCATACAACGGAAATTATTGGAACACATACTCTTTGTTGTCTCCATATTGTTGACACTGGTGGCATTGCGTTGGACCATTTTAGCTCAATATGTCTCAGCAATGATGCGCATTGATAGAAAAGTACTCTATTTCATAGATTTTTCTTGTCTTCTTCATGGTACTTCCACTAAGGGATGATATTGGCATCTTTAAATCTGGTGATTGAGACTTCTAAGTTTCTCTTTGATATTGGGTCCAAGTTTTGCTACTCATTAGTAGTTTTTTTATCAATGCTTTTATAGACATGTCTTATTTAAGTTGAAACATGTAATAAAGAACTCCTTGCTTGTTTACATGTTGCATCATATTTCTGTAGTCATTCATTTCATGAACTTTAATATTCAGAGTGCTGCCTTTGA